CCCCCTGGCTACGCCTATGCTATTTGAGAGACAAAAAGAGAAGCGAAAAGACTGTTAAAACAAGTACTTCCAATAAATACTTTTACAGTTAATGTGTTTATCAACGACCCTACTTGTCAAATTAATAGAAACGAAAAATAAATACTTTCATTACGGGAAAACCGGAGAAATACATGTATCTACCTGATTCGCTGGAATAGTCATTAGTCACATTATTTCAGAGCAAACAATTAGCATCTGCTATAATATTTATTTTTTCTATCTGATATACATCTGATATTGATATCTTTCCCCGGAGAATGTGTTATCTCATGGTCCGTTGACATCATCAACAATGTGATTTACCACAAGAGATTAACCAACATTCCTTGATTAAAAAGTTGACATTTCTCGACTTTTTTAAAGCAAAAACACTATGACACAATAACATCGAGGCAAAATCAAAACATAGTGTGGAAAGAAAAGGCATACAAAATGGACATTAAAAGGACATTCTTGTTCATAAAAGTATCAACTTTACTACAATGCACGCAAATACAAAGTATAGAATAAATAAAAATAACGTCTTCCGAGAGATTACAATACGGATCATTAAGTCATTAACAAATCTAACCGTTAAATAAACAAACTTAGCCCATGTCTTCAATTGTTTGTCTGCTGGTCAGAACTTGGTATCCGTTTCGGATAATCAATTTCTGAGAATACTGATGTCTTAAATAATTCCTAAAGTCGACGTTGTCTTTAAATAAGAATCTTTAATCTACAAACTAAATAAATATCGTAAACCCGGAATCGTAAACACCTTGCTGTCCTCTGTTAAATCACGAAACCCGTTTCCCTTAAATTTTTTACTAAGAGACTATAATTTATCTATCAAATTATTTTTCTTGAAATATTAAATGTCGTCTAAGTTTGTTTTAATGATTAGTCTTCTTCTAGATTCATTAATAATCGCGATATTTATATATACAGGGTGATCCAGAAGTAACGTCAAAGATGTTGTAATTTCAAAAGTATTCATCAGATCTTCATGAAATTTGGTATACATGTACCCACAACATTTCTGAGTTACCATCTCAAAGATTGGAATTCAATCATTTCATTGGTTGAAATTATGGTTGCTATAGTAACCCGATATCGCGTAACCCGGGGCAAATTACTTAACGTGTAATGCGTAATCTCAAAATATCAACAAGATCTGAAATTGTTATATCCTCAACATTTTATTTCACAACAATATAAATCATACTATTGCACAGTTACTAATAATAGTTCATTCTACATAATTGCCACCATTTGCAACACATTTCTCATGTCTGGATACCCATTCCTTGAACACAGAATTAAATCCATTAGAACTCATTCCTTGTAGGGCTAGTACTACGGCATTTTTCAATTCCTCACAGGATTGAAAATTATTTCCACTAAGGTTTCTTTTTAGTTCCCCATACAAATAAAAGTCACTGGGGGCAAGATCAGGTGAATAAGGGGCATGTTCAAGTTGTTGAAATCCAAGTGTTTGGACTGTGTTGCTGGTCAGGATTGCAGTGTGCGTAGGGGCATTGTCCAAATGCAAGATAAACTGCTGCAGATGTCCGGGACGCTTTTTCCTCAGGGAACGTTGAAGATCACGCTTCAGAACCTGAAAAACAAATGTTTAATGGTTGTTGAACCAGTTGTTTCATTGATTGGATTTGGATTTGAATCATGGCCATGGAGTTATAATTATATTGACAGTGAACAACATTTAAATACTTTAATTTAAAAATAAAATTCACAGTGTGATGTATTATTAGAACAAATGATATCTTACCTTTGCAATGTAAACGGCATTAATTCTCTGGCCAATGGGAACAAAATGGGTTAACACCATTCCTCTAATGTCAAAGAATGTCACAACCATTTGTTTCTTTTGTGGAATTCCTGGTACTATTTTAGGCTTGGTTGGTGTTGGGGAGTTGTCATGTTTCCACGATGAACTTTGTTGCGTGGTCTCTGGGATGTAGAATGATAGCAATGATGAGCACCCATTTAGCAGACACCTTCTTTAACAGACAGTTCTTTGTCAGTATCCGTTGCACAGTCCCATAGCTCAGATCGTGTTTTTCAGCCAATTCTCTGATAGAAATTTGCCTATTGTCCATAACATCAGCTTCAATTGCTTTGATGGTTTGATCATCGAATGACGACACTGGCCTGCCTCCTCGCTGCTTGTCTACCACTTCATCATATCCACTGGAATACTTGTTAAACCACCTGTAAATGTTTCTCTCAGCAATGGCAGCTTTACCATATGCCTTCTTTATCTGTCTTATAGTCTCTTTTACACCTTTCCCCAACTTTACACAGAACTTAATGTTTGTTCTTTGCTCTATTTTACTCTGACTTGGCGCCATCTTGAATTGGGTGGGTTAGTGTCCTTGGTCATGTTAGTATTTGTCATGGATGATGGAAGCAATTCAAAGAAATTGAAAGCTTTTTATGAATGCCTATTGTGACATCACAACTATTACATATTTGTTACCATGGCAACAAATATAAAAATCATAGAAAACAAACAATGAACATTTTCAAATGTTACTGACTTTTTAAATTAGAGAAATTCACAAAAACGTTATGGTTTCTCTTCAATTTGCCCCGGGTTACGCGATATCGGGTTACTATAGCAACCATAATTTCAACCAATGAAATGATTGAATTCCAATCTTTGAGATGGTAACTCAGAAATGTTGTGGGTACATGTATACCAAATTTCATGAAGATCTGATGAATACTTTTGAAATTACAATGTCTTTGACGTTACTTCTGGATCACCCTGTACATATTATGTAATAGACCTATCATATCACGCCCGTAGTTACAAAGTCAACTACATATTAATGAAATAGAATAAGACTCAATAATTAAAAAAATAAAGCTCAGTATTCAGGCCTAAAAACCACAGATAAGTGTATCAATACCAAAGGGTAAGCTCAAATAACCTTCCAAATAAGTGTATCAATAATCAAGGATTGCGACTACTAAGCACCGGGTAAGATGGGTGTACCATTGGTATTGCTAGTTATTAAACACGATTTTGTCTTGTGATGGTAATATAGTATATATATACGTACATTAATGGTTCAACAGAGATGAATTGATGTAGACCATAATTTAAGTGAAAACAGTACATCAGACCATAACAATATGGAATCCTCTGACTTTCATAAATCTGATAATTTTATTGTGAGTGGTACACACCATGGACAAGTAACTGTGGTTGATGACAGGAAGGATCATATCTTGAGAAACATTATACAGTGTGCGACACCTTTATCAGAGACACGGCCATACTACTCGATGAAGGTGAAATCATTAAATGGTAAGTGGTCAATGACGCAGCCTGTCACTCTCATAAGAGACACATCAATACTACTCGATGAGGGTGAAATCATTACATGGTAAGTGGTCAATGACACTATCACTCTTTCATAAGAGACACATCAATACTACGATGTGAGGGTGAAATCATTGAATGGTAAGTGGTCAATGACACAGCCTGTCACTCTCATGAGAGACACATCAATACTACGATGTGAGGGTGAAATCATTAAATGGTAAGTGGTCAATGACACAGCCTGTCACTCTCATGAGAGACACATCAATACTACGATGTGAGGGTGAAATCATTAAATGGTAAGTGGTCAATGACACAGCCTGTCACTCTCATAAGAGACACATCAATACTACGATGTGAGGGTGAAATCATTAAATGGTAAGTGGTCGATGACACAGCCTGTCACTCTCATTAGAGACACATCAATACTACGATGTGCGGGTGAAATCATTAAATTGTAAGTGGTCAATAACACAGCCTGTCACTCTCATAAGGGACACATCAATACAACGATGTGAGGGTGAAATCATTAAATGGTAAGTGGTCAATGACACAGCCTGTCACTCTCATAAGAGGCACACCAATACTACGATGTGAGGGTGAAATCATTAAATGGTAAGTGGTCAATGACACAGCCTGTCACTCTCATTAGAGACACATCAATACTACGATGTGCGGGTGAAATCATTAAATTGTAAGTGGTCAATAACACAGCCTGTCACTCTCATAAGGGACACATCAATACAACGATGTGAGGGTGAAATCATTAAATGGTAAGTGGTCAATGACACAGCCTGTCACTCTCATAAGAGGCACACCAATACTACGATGTGAGGGTGAAATCATTAAATGTAAGTGGTCAATGACACAGCCTGTCACTCTCATAAGAGACACATCAATACTACGATGTGCGGGTGAAATCATTAAATGGTAAGTGGTCAATGACACAGCCTGTCACTCCCATAAGAGACACATCAATACTACGTTGTGAGGGTGAAATCATTACATGGTAAGTGGTCAATGACACAGCCTGTCACTCCCATAAGAGACACATCAAAACTACGATGTGAGGGTGAAATCATTAAATGGTAAGTGGTCAATGACACAGCCTGTCACTCTCATAAGAGACACACCAATACTACTATGTGAGGGTGAAATCATTAAATGGTAAGTGGTCAATGACACAGCCTGTCACTCTCATAAGAGACACATCAATACTACTCTATGAGGGTGAAATCATTACATGGTAAGTGGTCAATGACACAACCTGTCACTCTTTCATAAGAGACACATCAATACTACGGTGTGAGGGTGAAATCATTAAATGGTAAGTGGTCAATGACACAGTCTGTCACTCTTTCATAAGAGACACATCAATACTACTATGTGAGGGTGAAATCATTAAATGGTAAGTGGTCAATGACACTATCACTCTTTCATAAGAGACACATCAATACTACTATGTGAGGGTGAAATCATTAAATGGTAAGTGGTCAATGACACAGCCTGTCACTCTCATAAGAGACACATCAATACTACTCTATGAGGGTGAAATCATTACATGGTAAGTGGTCAATGACACAACCTGTCACTCTTTCATAAGAGACACATCAATACTACGGTGTGAGGGTGAAATCATTAAATGGTAAGTGGTCAATGACACAGTCTGTCACTCTTTCATAAGAGACACATCAATACTACGATATGAGGGTGAAGATAAAACTACACTTTTGGGCGAAATTATCAACCGTGTACTTTTCCACTACTTTATCAAAGATAAGTCCAAGCTACCATACATGAGGGTAAAATCATTAAATGCATGGTCGTCCATACTACCATATATAAGGATAAAATCATAAAGGTTCAGTTGTCAGTAAGGGACGGGTATTACGTTTGCCATCTCGTTGCCAGAGTTCCGCTATACTACGTATTCTTTATAAAGGGTAGATGCATCGAATTGCCATTATTTTAGCAACCGTATGAAACAACACAACAACGATTTGACAAAAAGAGAATCATCAGAAATTCATATGTATATCAAGTGAATTTCCATATTTAAGCTACGTAACGTAAAACTTCTCCCAAAGAAGTCCATGAATAATTTATATTTCAGAGGGATCCTTCATAATGTTCGGCCTGAATGTTAAAGTAGATGCTGGTGAGCAGTGCCAATGGAACGTCGGGAAATCTGTTCGTTACCATAGTAACGACGGTGGCGTATTTAATGGTGGCTCTGGAAAGAGGACATACCGATCATATGACATAGGTGAATGAATAACTCGTAGAAATCAAGAAACATAAAGTATAGCAATGGATTTATATCATAACTAACAATCTACCAAAATATCTCATCCTTCGATCGTACGGCTCCAAGATCCACAAAATATTCCGGAATCTGAGCACCTGCTCTTGAGGATGAAAAAATTCAAAACAGAATTTTTACTCTTTATAAAGATTTGATATTTCGGTTGAAAAAACAAGTCACAAACTGTCTCCAAAAAATTCACCTAAGAGCCTACTGATAAAATAGTATTACCATATTCCATTCCAGGTGACACTGTTGCAGTTTATTTAGAAAAGATCGACGCCTACCAATCATTGGTAAATTTCTTCCATAACAAGCAGTTGGTGTTCAGAGAATGGGCTCATATTCCGATATCCCAGCTACATGCCACTATAGGTCTTAGTGTAGGTGGGATTGGAGAACTGCAAGTAACGTGGCCTAAGGAGGACGTGCAACTTGAAAATGATGTAGCAAACATTGTAAGTAGACATCATTTCTGATGTGTACGAACGATACAGTTGTTTTTATATAATCTTGAAATCTTGATTTACATACTAGACAAAGCTTTATATAATATTTCCCTTCAACAATACTAATTATTTCCAGGATTCTTTAAGACATTGGTTGACAAGTCCAGAGGTTGAAGTAAAGGAAGGTGATCTAACAGTACGATTAGCAGCTTTTGATGACACAAGACTGGGATTTAGTGCACAGGCGCCAAGACCATTCAATCCAAGTTAGTTTCAACCAACGACATATTTTATTTAACTCCTATGAATATATGAATTATGTATGTTTCTACTGGAACAGTTTTAATGTTTGTTATCTATTCATAGCATGGACCTATTTTGAAGTAGAGGTGATACTCATGGTTGATACTGCAGCCGGACCAGCAGTGGGCTTGTCTCCCCCAGTCTTTGATAAGTTCAAATACCCCGGATGGACTCCTGACACCATAGGTTACCATGGTGATAACGGTAAAGTCCTCAGAGATGACCAAGCCATATGGCCATACAACGATGCAAGTGAGTGATTTAATAATTGAATTAAAGTCCGCTAAAATACAACTGCATCTTTTTTCTCTACATATGGTTCAGAGTGCCACATATTCACACGGTAATAAATATCTGGACTACTGTACTTCTGCCTGCTTTGTGTATTCTCGTCTGTCAAGGAGAATCTTAATGCAACATAAGTTGATTAGGCATAAACTTGCACAAAAGTGCAATGTCACCATTTTAGAAATCCCATCAAAAATGAAGCCTCGATTTTTTTCATATATTGATTTTTGCATTCAATTAATCATTTTAGATTTGTCCAATGAAATGAGGTGTAGACAAGGTGATCGTATGGGGTGTGGTGTTCTTTGACTCCACGATATTACATGGCAGGAAGATGTCAGACGTGTTGGCAATGAAGCTATCGTATATTTCACCAAGAATGGTCTTGTTGTTGCCCACTATACAACCTTTATCCCCTTCCTCGTATATCCAACAGTAGGGTTATGTACTATAGGTATGCGCGGATTTGTCACATACATCTGTAATTTATTCTTAACCTTATTCCAATATAATGTCAAGAACAGTATTTTAGGCTTATTTTCACAAAGCTATTTGATGTTTCGCCGTGGATGACTAACGGATTATTGCAGCTTCACTCAAAACGAGGCCAATATTAACAATGGCCGACCAATTAAAAGCACATGACAAGCATCCTTTAAATATGGAATATAAAGAATATCTCATGATTTTCTCGTGATAGGATTTTATCCAGTCTTATATGCTCGTTGTAATATAACTGTTACATAAAGTAATTTTGATGGTAGATAAAATTATTTGTCTTTTACTGCAGAAGACACAATACGCTACATCAAACATCCAATTCCGCCAACTGATATTCAAATAAAGAAATCGCCATTTATTAATGAGAGTGAAAAACTAATCAAAGAAGCAGAACAACTGGGGGATGAAGATCCAAGTGATTCAGAAAGTGATTCAGAGTACATTGCTCCAGACTCTACAAAAGAAAAACAAAATAGTGCCACAAATAACTCAAATAGCTGTGAAGAAGAATCATCAACGAATAACCCAAGTGCCAAATGGGAAAAACAAACTGATAAGCACGACAATCATAGTGATATTTCTAACGGTATTGCCAGAATCACACATGCTGCACGTCTGGCTCGGAGACTTAAAGCTCCGTATTTTGTTTCGAACTCAACATGTGTTACTATAGATGATACAAATGTATCATATGGATCAGTAGTCACGGTGACCTCTGATAAGGAACTGACCATTGTACAGCACAGGAAAACGAGAATGACGAAAACAGGATGCAATTACTTTACATTGAAAGTTACTCAATTTGGTGAGCTCTTGGATATGAAGTTGGTGCAAGTTGAAGATACAAACCCTCATTTAATATATATAGAATCTTATGTAGCATTCGCGAATTTAACTGCCGGCTGATGGTTTAACCTACTTTTAATGCCCAACACATTTAAATATGAAGATAGTGCCTGCCATTATTCCATTCATATTTAAATAATGAGTTGATCATAAAAAGTAGGGTTAAATCGTCAGTCGTCTCCCAAAATTTCATTTGTATTTTTGTACTTTATTACAGGTAAGGGAAATGGCCAAATTATATTGGGAATCACTAACAAACAAGCTGCAAAGCAACAAAGATATCTTAATGACAAGAAGAATGTTTGTGGTCGGCAGTTTATGATCAGAAATATCAAAAAGAATGAAGCTGGACATGATTTGGAAAATATATTATACGAGAAAGATGAAATTGGTGTATTAGTCGAGTACCAACATAAAGATAGCGTTGTTGTGAACTTTATAAAGTCTAGTCAAATTATACTGAGACATGTTGTACGTGCCGAGACTGATAAACTGTACGCAACAATGACATTGTCAGGAACATTTCAACTAGTTATACATTGGCCTGGTACCATAGACCACATTCCAAACTTTAAACTGGTAAGTTTATCAGCTAAAAGACCATATTTATATATAATACAAAAACCCGTTAACTATCCTTAACTGATTTAACAGAATCGCACCACATTGGCATCCATCATTTCACCTCGATTAACATAAACTAAATTGGTAACTTGACGAGCTGCAATTGATATGGCAGAATGGCACAATACTAGTGTCCAGCTTTGTTTAGTGATTTCACCTCAATTAAGTTGATTTTATTCTCAAAGATGATTATACATTTCATTTTATGATTCTCTCCTCATTTTCTCCAGCACCAATATATCATGGCTTCCTGGATTCGAAACAATGGAATCGGAGTTGGGGACACCGCCTGCAAGCTAAACCTGCACACGGTTGATCAGAATGACATCTATAGTCTTTACCAGCATGCGCAAGCACCATGTCCACTGAGTGAAGAGGTGCCATACTTCGAATTCTTTCCTGGGGGATACTCGGGAAAGCATTCGTTGACTTTTGGTGAGTCGGAACTCTTTATCTAGTGCCTTGGATGTTTGAATACAAACTATCCATTGTCCCATCAATCACACTCAATGATTTTATTCCATTTTTAGGTTTAGCGAATGGGAATGATGTTCTTGGAAACAGATCAGTAGTTGGGTCATTCCCAGAAAGCATCGGTTATCAGATTACAACTGGTTATGTGCAATGTCAGGATGGTAAGCTTATGTTGAAAACCACCTATGATTATGCCTTTATGCGTATTGTACATCATTCTTAGTTGATGATAATTCAGCTGAGTTTATATTGAACTCAAAAAATCACAATTTCGTTCGTAAAACTGATATGGAATATCGAGGGTCAAGAGTTACCATATTTATTTTCATTATTTTAGAAATAACATGTAGAATACATGTATGCAAACCAAGGAAGGGCGATAGATATGGCTGTGGCTTGGTGTTTCCAAGGGGTAATAATGATCCTGACACGGAACAGCACGTCGTAGTGTATTTCACGGACAACAGGAATGTTTTTTTCAATCGAAAGATTGTTCTTCCATTAGGAGGGTTCTATCCTACAATTTCTTTCGGAAAGAAAGGTATAGTATCAAAAATTGCAGTTACAATTTGAAATGATAAATGTAGTCCTGTAATTATTTGCGTCTTTTATGCAAGCGTTCTTAATATTAATCTCACTGAACTGATACTGAACTTTTGATATTTCAGTATCTAATATTCTATATTCAATTCACATAAGAATTATTGATTTAATTATTTTAGGGTCACATTTAGCACATACATTTCTGGAATTTGTTGGATGATCAAATTCCAGAAATGTATGTGATAAAGGTGCACGTGTATGGATTAGATGATGACGCAACGCAAAACATTTTCTGTAACAGAGATTACAGGATTTTGATTGGATCATTTTCATTTCTTTGCAGGGGAAACGATAGAAACTGTTCCTCATGCACCTCCACCTATACTCTCACCGACAAAAACAAAGGAATGGCTTGCTGAACCATACAGGGAACCTTTACAGTTAACTCAGGACATTGATCGCACCCACCAAACCAAGAAACCAAACAAAATCACACCAGTATCACAGGACGTCGAAACGGTCAATTATATGCACGACACTGGTGCAAGGCGAACTAATGACGTTAATGAACGTCGAACTCGATCTGCAGAAGTTAAAACTGACCCAATGGTTGCATTACATAATAATACTCCTCCACCTGCTTCTTATAGTGTATCAGATTTAAAGTCAGAGACTAGCGACACTCAGAAAACTTCTATGTGTGATATTTTGTAATTTTATTAGACTCCAGATGTCAAAAAACTAGTTTTTATTGATTTGTGTCTTGATTGTGATCCCAAAATACAATATAAAAGGTTGCGTTTTATCACTTAGATGGATTATAAACAGGCTTTTAAAACACAAGGTCAGGAGAGACTCTCCGGTTACCATTTGTCAGCGAGATGCTCTTAATGACAACCGATTTTCAAGGTTTATAAAGATTGTATGAAATTAATAGACTGGGTGCTATCAAAATCAAGTTAAGATGAACATATATAAGCAATTCCGAAATAACAAAGATGTATTGCTTTATAACATTTTTATGATAGTAAAAAACGTCATAATCAAAGGTACACGGAAATACCAAAATCTGAATTAAATATCTCTTTTTCTCGCTGGTTCAGCTCGTCTCCTCTTCCTTCCTCTTCGTCTTGGTGGTCGTGTTGTGGTAGTTGTAGTAGTAGTAGTGCTTGTACTGGGTGGGGCTGCAAGTCCAAGGATCTGCCGGTACACAAACGAATAGCGTGGTTCCGGAAAGAGATTTGGGTTTTGTCGCCATTTGCCTACTTCATCGTTTGTGAAAACAAATGGGCAGATGAGTAGCTGAAATCGGAAGTTTAACATTTTGGCAAACTATACTTGTTTTGTGGTAGAATGCTTGATGTATACCCAGCAGAACTATTGTTCCCCTAATAAAATGTGTTTTATGTTTTGTGGTAAGATGTTGCATAACCTACCTGGTCTATTGTTCCTCTGAAGTCCCCAACCTTCAGTGGACAAGTATTACCTTCAGCCACAACTGGAAAATAATATAACCTCCACTAATTATGTTGAGACTACTTAGTACTGGATTAGAAGACTTATATTTGTGTTACTATATTGACTTGAGCGATAGATGGACCCATAGTGCCAGGCCATATTGGGCAATAGTGGTCATTATTTTAATATACACCCTGGTCCGGGGTGAATAACGAGTTTGTAATTGGTTTCCTATGTTGCCCACTAAAATGAGGTTATCATAGTATATTACGATTTGAAACTTCAACAACAGAGTGTCACATATAGTGAATAGAGATAAATGGTTTCATTTGATTCCATGGCTATAATGGCCGAAAACTTCGCGTTTGAAGATACACTTGTTATTGGGTTTTCTGGAGTGGTACTCATTCCACGATTTTGGTCCAGCATGTGTGAATAAACTGGCCTTAAAATACAGTCCAGTGTGGATTTGACATTGCCAAACTTTACTAGTCTAACAGTAGAATACGTACATCTGAAATCCAAGTCGAGCAAGGAGGTGTCATCATAGCTTGCCTGGTGAGTCTCTTGCGTACCCCAGAATGTCCACAACTTTGTGCCTTTCATTTGAAACATGAAGAAGTTCCATTCCTCCAACTAGAAAATGATTGTGAGCTATTACACATTTATATAATGAAGTACTGATAAAAATGCTTCAACCGTTTTGTTTGATTTTATTTCGGAATTATCATTATACTGTATACTGTTATACTGTTTTTGAGTAATATGATGATGAACTGTAAACATGTCAGAAGTGCTGAATCGTCCCCAAGAAAGGTTTGCCCAATCTGATAACACATTCCTGTTGATGTAGGTTTATAAAACATGAAAAGCACAGTACAGAATATGTTATGGATAAACTATGAATATGGGTTTTATGAGACGTAAATGCCGAGGCAATTTGTTCTGATAAGATCTAGTACGAATGTTTTTTGTAACTTAAACCCCACACTGACTATTATGAAAGGTAAATGGCCGATGATCTAATTTTAGGAAATTATGAATTATTTTGTATTGACTTTGAGGTAGCCTAAGTGTATCGAGAAGTGAGTGGGTGTAATTAGTTCAGCTTCGGTGCACTGCATATAACAGACCGGGTACAGTTTAAAATTTGATTTCTTTTGTGTTAACCATTAAACTATTAAATGAATGAATGGGGTGTAATTAGTGCCGCTTTAGTGTACTATAGGTGACAGTCAATCGTCGTTTGTGGCACGCTGGTTTTAACTAGCTTGCCAAGTGTTAATCCTTTAAAAATAATAGAAAAATAATGCACTCCTCTTTGTTACAGATGGATACTCTTTAAAATAAACTACTGAGTCATTCTATTGTGTTGCTACCTAAGCATGTTTAAATACTCAATAATACACAGCCGAAAATGATTCGTTGAATGCTGGATCAATTTCACATCGAGAATAGAATAGTGATCAGAGCAAAACTGGATTTAAACATATTCTGTGATTTCGACAATCACTCACCGGAACAACGAGATCAACCGTCTTCATAAATGTTTTAATGCTCAACCTATCCGCAATAAGGAACGTGGCTTGATCTGCTCCATCTCGCACGCCACCTCGTGCTATAGTCAACTGTATAGTTGGGTTTATCTCAGCGGTTTTTTCCGTCGCTGCCTGTCCATTCGAATAGATCACCCCGTCGCCACAATCCCCGACGCACCTAAAGCAAATGCAGTAGTGGTTAACGGTAAGGTAAAGGTTTTCTCATTAGTTGAACGAAAATTTCAAGGTATGCAGTGAAACGATTTTTATGATGTTGTCAACATCATTTTGCTTTTGGTAATAAGACTACTTTAAAGCACACTTTGAATAAAACACCATGCAAGGAATAGCAATGCCAAGGCATAAGACAGTACCTACCTAAACCAAATAGCTATTCCAAATTCATCTCCCCACCATGCGTTAGAGAAATACTCTAAGCGGGCAGGTCTTCCATCTCCCATACACTCCAGCGAGAATCCAGGCAAGTTTTTAGGGACGCCCTCGTTAATCAGATCTCTGTTGAACCTACACCCTCCTTCGGCCATTGGAACATTGTACCTCACGTCTCTAACAAACAGGTCAAAATGCCAATGCAGACAGCTAGGCATAGCTTAAAATCAAATGAATGTGTATCATTCAAATTAAAAGCATTCTCATTGCTCATTGCATAATTCCTGAGACTAACTTAAAGCACTAAATAAATCAACATTAAAAAAATAAATGACGACCGGCATGTGTGTTTCAACTTTCAATATGCACTGTTGATACGTACTGCTTAAAAATCCATTAGTAAATTATGATACATGACAACCGAGATAGGATTCGTCGTGTTATTCAAACGCAATGTTAACATGTTGCCCATCGTGTTTTATTGTATTTTCCCATTTCCATTGACGATGCAACCATGTGTTTAAATAAATGTGTTAAAATAAACCATTTTCTTACCATGACGACCCGTGTCACAGCAACATGTGTCAAGGTTAAATGTTCCGTTATCTGGACACTTCTGAGACCACCTATCATGATGGTAAATGTAGTGTGTCTCATTGACCTTTGTGAACAACAATCCCTTGCCTTCTTCTACTTGGTCAAATTCTCCTACTTGACAACATTGGTCTGAAAATAAAAAGATATCTGTGCAACATGGCTTACAAACCCTTTAAATCATTGAGTTGAATCCCCTATTGAAGATATTATGCGCAAAATGATCCTTTGGTCCAACATACACCAATGGGGCATGGTAGGACCTCCATAGACTTAACATTGCGTGGGATCTCGTGGGACTCGATGGGGCAAGTTGTCCAATGTTACATATGACAGTTGGATAGTTACATAACACTCATGACATCATTTTTCTGATATGGTGACATTTACTTACCCATTGTTATATTCGCAACGCATTCTGGTTGTTCCTGGCGTCTCTGTTCTGGAGGTGCTACAAGAATAGGTTCAGAAGTGTCAGAAAGATAAGAACATTCATAGAGTACAATGTTGTTGGAGATTAGAAAACGAATATTATGTTCGATCAGGCTAGGCATTGCAGTTCTATACATGTGTTTTGTCAGACATAATTATAGGCCTATATTCATTATACTTTAAGCATTTTACACGCAATGAATCACATAACTCGCTAGTGTTACTAGAGATTCTCAAAACTTATCTCAAGTGGATTGGAACCTTTCAGATCGTATATTTCGCCCTTACCCCAACATGTGTCATTTTCAGGTATACAGTACGGTATATTGTCTTGCCAATCACAGGTACTAGCGTTCCTGTTCCAGACAAGCGGAGGAGCGCAAAACCTCTGGTAAGCCTCGGTGTGGTCCTCGTTACACTGGTGGTAGCTACAACAGTTATCCCCCTGGAACTCGTCCCAGTAGTACCCATTCTTGCATATCTCTCTGTCGGCGGGAACACCTAAGAATAAATAGAATCTTCAAAATGTAATATGATTTGAATTGAATCAAGCAAATACCTAAAATTGCATGATATCTACGCAACTGGCTTCTCTTAACTGAAAGATTACACGCATGATTCCCTTGGAATCGTTTTACGATTAAACAATACGTTAATTGTAAAATTTGGGAAACGAAATCTCACAAAAGTGAAAGTAAATGACATTGCATTTTCAATTTTAGTGGTTTGTGTTGCACTTGGGATTTCAAATTCTAGAATAACCGAAAGCAGTATGCATGGCCAAAGTGTTTTATGATGAACTCACCCTGTATGACAGGGTAATCTATAACTTGCACCGACGGTTTTATGAACATTACCAACACCAACAAGGCTCCTAAGAGCGTCCGAGCCATGTCGGAGAACGATCCTAAAAACAGAGAGGAATAAAATGAGTTAAACTTCAAATTATGGTATACTTGACATAACCCTATTACAATTAAGCCTTTCTCATAACATTAAAGGACAAGAGGGGACTCCCACAATAGAATATAAAAACAATAGTGTTACACATTTTTGGTATTTTCTTAAATATTGGACAGCAAAACTGCAAAATATCACTTCTCCGTGAAACTCCCACTTGCTTGAGTTTTATATCTGTTGCTCGGGTTAGATGTGGGAATGACCTAGCAATGTGCATAATCTTACAAGAGTTATGATAACATTGTTCATTACATGTGCTTGGACGTTTCATAATCAAAGAACAACGAAAAATATATTATTGGTGGTATTTACATGGAGAAATTCGTAGACGTGAATCAATATTTTAATTGGCTCGACAAATTCAATGAAACATGTTTTCAGGCAGTACAGCAGGGTGTTCCTCACTCAACTTCACTCAAAATCGCGAAAGCAACCTTCGACTGACGGCTGACAACTTACTCTTGTTTGGGCAACTCATCTAAATATGAATAGTACCTACCACTGTTCCATTCATATCTGAGTTGATCATAATATAGTTAATCCGATAGCCGACAGCCGAAAGTTGCATTCGCGAATACAAGCTTAAAGGCTTAACAAGGATTTAAAATAAACTTACCAACTGCTAGCTAATTGTAGTGATATGACTTCAAGAGATTCGGCAAAGTGAAACCAGATGATGGACACACCACGTTGCTATCCTTTTTCTTTTCTGAAGTGTAAGAAGTCATCAGTATTCATTCAAGTGTTTTCGAACACATGGAATTTTTGTGTCTTCTGCGAGGAATTTTTCCCGACCAAGTCCATGTTGAGCTATGCTACTCATCCTATCTATAGGATTAATTCCAAGACGGTACAATCATTGTATATTTAACATAAAAACATAAATTATATGTACTTACTCTGGTTGTCAATAAAAGCCAAAAGCAGTAAATCATCTGTTCTCGCATCTTAGCCTTTACGAATGACACTCAATATACAGCATGTTTATGATTAATAAAGACATTGCTTTTTCCTTAGGGGCAAATTTTATTCATGTTGGCTTAACGTATCAGTGAAACAGATATCATAAATGTGATACATACATGTATATTGAAAGGCTTCGTATTTTTGTATTCTATATTTCGGAATATATTCAAACTGTAAGCATGTCATCTTCTTCTTACTACAAAGCATGATGTTCTGTCTCTCTTTCTGTCTGTTTATCTGTCCTAACTGTCTGTCCGAACTCCTCCTAGCCCGTTTACCTTGGGCCCTCATACTTGGCCAACATATTAAGCGGGCTGATGGGCGTTCTATGAAGGTCAAAGTCAAGGTTATTCCAAGGTCAAGGGTCAATATTAAGATATTTGGCTTGCTGGGACTCTTGACGACCCAGGATTAGGGGACTCGAGGTCAAGGTAAACTTTACGAGCCAAGGTCAGTCCGAGGTCAAAGGTCAATATCTTAGTATTTGGCGTTTTGATGTAATTTGTGCACTACTGTGACCTTTGGCGACCCATAATTAGATGACCCGAGGTCAAGGTCAGTACTAAGTTAAAGAGAGAATCAGATATAGCGAGCAGGCTAAACAAAAAATTGTTTCAATTTGAGAATATTTTTGGCTCGTGTCATTCCTTGCCATGTCTATTTTCTAAAAATCACAAAAGTGCATACTCTATTCTGGAAAAACTAAAGATTTTTACAATAATGTATTATATTTCTATAAGAATGGTTACCATTCTTATTATTTGGGAGAATTTAAACATTTTTCACTCATTTTTGCACTTTAAATCATTAATAACTTCACCAATTTATAACATACTGTGAATCTTTTGGGAGATATTGTGCTTGATATTGTAAGCAATAGATTGGTAGGTCAATTATACATGTTGCTTGTAATTTTGTCACCCCCTACAGATCAGATTCTGTATAAAGGTCAATATCTAGGCTTTTTGTGATTTAGGGTCCTTTGGGCTGCTGTGACCCTTGGCGACCAATGATTAGGTGACCTGAGGTCAAGGTCAATGTTATGGGTTGAGGTCACCTCAAGGCCAATACCTAAATATTTGGTGTTTTAAGAACCTTGGGGATGCTGTGACTATTGGCGAACGATGATTAGGTAACTTGAGGTCAAGGTCATTCCTAGGGCAAATGTGAATATCTAGTTATTTGGTGATATTAGGTCAAGTCCTTGTGCCTGCTATGATCCTTGACCAATGATGAGATGACCTGAGGTCAATGTTTATAGGTCAAGGTTATCTCAAGGGCAAAAGTCAGTATCTAAGTATTTGGCGTTTAAAGGACCATAGGGCTGCTGTGACCTTTGGCGACCAATCATTAGGTGACCTGATATCAAAGTCAATATTTATTGGCCATGTCGTCTCAAGGTCAAATGTGAGTATTTAGATATTTGGCGTTCGGCTAGTTCACTTCAAAAGAATCAGTCAAGGTCAAACGATCAATATACAGGTATTTTATTAGGACTGCTGCCATGTGGGGGCTGTTGTGACCCCTGGTGATCCATAGTAACTTTACTCATTCATCACATATCGTTGAAAAATTGAATTTGAGATTGTAAGGAATAGATTGGTGTGTTAAGTGTACATTTTGTCTGCAATTTTGTCACATCCTATATATCTGATTCTGCCTTTAAAATGTTAAAAGACTCAACAATAATGACAGTGTGATCTGCCTAATACTACAAGTGCTGAAAATAAAAGTAGTTGGATTCTAGTTGACGTGGACACAATAACTCTACGTATTACATATCAGTCAGACCAAATTAAATACTAGGTAGATTCTAGAATAATGTTTTACATTGGATGAATTATAAGGGATTGAGAGTGGCGGAAGCAACACTTTCAAAAGCAGACCAATGTTTTCCTTACAATCTTAATTTTATTTTCTATAAAAGAGAAATAGACATTTGATTACTTCATTATATAACTGCATTCCGACATTTCAAAGTTGGAAATTGACTTCGACTCAATGAAGATACAAATTAAATAGCTATATATAATTAACTTTCAATTCAGACCATGTTTTTATTTTCATCATCTTATTTTTCTTACATTTAAACGTTTATCATCTTATTTCAGTTTACACTCCCCAACATAAGTTTGAGAACCGAATGTTATCATTGGATAGCATTTAAAAAGCCCGACAATTTTTGAATCTCAATTTTTGTTTCTTAGGCTTTGATGAATAATCCAAAGAGGAACTTCCGGTGGGCAAATTTATTGAGGGGAGTGTAGGCTCTTTAGGCAGCATTGCGTTTATTTTTTATAGCACGCCTTCTCTTTCTTCCTCGTCGTCTAGGACGAGTTGTAGTAGTTGTTGTTGTTGTCGTCGTCGTCGTTGTCGTGGCAACAAGCTGAATACCCTTGAGCTGTCTCCACACCCAGGCATAGTGAGGTTCGGGGTACAGATTAGGATTCCTTGACCATTTCTTCACCCATTCGTTGGAGAATGGTGTGGGACAAACCAGAATCTGGAAAAAATGAGTTGTTGAGGAGAATTTAATTTTTACAACTAAATTTTAATGGAATGAACAATTAATTTTGATACGAAAGGATCTGTTTGATTCGATCGATTGAACCATTATTTCCCAATAAATGGCAATCATTTACCCCCATGATTCTTATAAACGTATACGTATATTTACTTTGCGTGGAAGGGTAATTTGACACTGTCTCTGTTAAGATTATTCGTTGGGATATTTGGGTTCATTTAATTTTTTAGCCCTTTGGACATTTTCCCTTGGTATCTAAATCAATTTTGGTCTTTCTGAGAAATATTTCCGTAGCTTAATGTTATCGTATTTCTTCTGCGTTCCATATCGCAGTTGTGAGAATCAATTAAAGTACATATATGCTGTTAAATACCTGATCTACCAATCCTCTGAACGCTCCAATCTTCAGATTACATTTGTTACCCTCCGATACAACTAAAAGAAGAAAGCACACAAATGTAACATTAAAGCTATACAAAAGGTCTTAAAAAATACTTTACACAATACACATTGTAAAAAAAACAATCAGAATTTGTAATAATGGCCATTATATAAAACACTCACAAGCAACATTTCTGATTTCGAAAATTGACCTATATGAAGGAAACTCAAATTTTTCATATTCAAAAGATATTGCCCGGTGAGTGATTTCTTAAACTTGAACAACAAATATGTGATTATTCGTAATAGTAAAACTATATTATTAATGATGTCTGATTCGTAAGGAATATATCATCATATCAGCACCGTGCGTGGTTAATGTGATGGTTGTACCTACACCTAAAATCGGCATCAAGGAGTGACGTGTCATCAAAGCTTGACTCGTAACCATCTTGAGTGCCCCAATGGCACCAAATGTTCGTTCCCTTCATTTGGAACAGAAAGAAGTTCCATTCGTGCGACTGGAAATAGTTAGATTTTAAATATGTGTTATAGCCATTTTATCAAACACGTTGAGTGAAACAAAGTCATGTTAATTACATAAAATGGAGGGTTAGCTTTGTGGTGTCGGAACGAGAGCTGATTTGCATTATTGTCTTTATATATTGTAATATATACTTTGATGTATTCTATGTTGAATTTCGAATCTAAACTGAGATGGCTCGTGGCTTGCGCTTGACATCCGGAGCGCATCGTGATATCTCAAGTTACCAAACCAGATGTGAGGAGGACACATCGCTCCATAACAATATGTTATGAAAAAGTCCGTATATTTCTCACGAGTGCTTAGGTATTTACTTGGGAAAATCGAGCTTGAGAGGAGAAGCTACGAAATTTCAGTAAACTATACCCAACAGTCTCCATGCAGAATCTTTTCTGGACGTGACCGGATCATTTTTGAAATTTTCTCAGTAACAGCATTTATGCACCTCATTAAAATACTCAAATCTGATTGGTTAAGAGCTGCAGGGTGTATTACCATACGTGGCAGCAAGATCTCGTTCTACCCAGTATTGAAGCAACGAGATCTCCAACCATCCCGTATGCCAGAATACCTATCCTCGAAAAAAATACTAGGCTTGGCTTCTGTTTTAGTAGACCCATTCTTTAAAACAAAGTATTTCTTGACAATTTAACACCATCTTTTAATTATCTACAGTAAATTAATGGTATTATATTAACCAAGAGAGGTGCATAATAAAATAGATACTGGATGACCATGAGGTGGATATACCAGAATTGTGACATTCAAAGTTGTTTTTATCTTAAAAGGTCCATTGGGGAAATGAAAACCTATTTAGTTCTGTTCGCCAAAATGATAGTTGATGATAGAACGACAATAAGAGTGCAGATAGGTGTTACAGCAATACCATTCGTCGACAGGACAGGCTGCGAGTGCCCATGAGGAAATAATAATACTATTAAACATGATATAAACCCTCGTACAAGTCTATACATAATTCTATACTGATGCCAACTTACATCTACTCTCAAATCAACAGTTTTCATGAAGGTTTTGACACTGTATTTATCTGCTATAAGGAAGGTCGCCCTGTTGTTAACAGGATCTACTGAAAGTTGCAACGTGGGGTTTATTTCACTAATGAACTCAGTTGCCTCGTTCCCATTGGAATATACAATTCCATCACCGCAGTCATCAATGCACCTTAATCAAATAAGAGTATATTTGAGGTAAATATGACAGGATATTATATTGTCTCGTCTTTTTCTGAAGAGCTCAAAGACACACGTACAGTCGGTTTAATTTTTAATAGCTGAATTGAGGGTTTTAAGAGAAACACTCGTTCACACTCGAGATTTTGTTTTTCTGATTTGTTGATCACATCTGCAAAATTTGCATGATGTTCGAAAGTAGGCCAAGTAAAATGTTTGAACGTTCGTACTTGAACCAAACTGCCATGGCGAACTGATCTCCCCACCATGCATTAGAGAAATATTCCAATTCCGCTGGTCTGCCGTCATTCATGCATTCAAGAGAATAACCAGGAAGCTCACGTGGAACACCGGGATTTGTTCTTTGTGTGCTTGATCCGTGCCGGAAAAATCGACATCCCCCCTCAGCCATGGGGAGATTTTGCCTCTCGTCATTAAGTACCAGGTCAAAATCCCACTGCCAGCAAGATGGAAGAGCTGAATCAATTTAGAAAGTATGAGTTTAGATTTTTGTTATCTTGTGTTAGATCAGTTTTAGGGTACTGTACATATAGAAGAATTGAAGTTTGTGGAAGTAAATTACGTAAAATCAGATCACGTAATTTGAATAAATAAAAATTGCATCCATATCTCATAGTTGCTCGATTGAATTAGCGAACATATCGTCAGTCATTGTTACTAGCTGCTTAATTAAATTGGGAGATTAACTCGTAATTAAACGTTAGTTTGCAGCTACAGCTAGGGATACACGGTAGGTATTATTCATATTTAAATGAGTTTGCCATTAAATTGCAATCAACCTGGTAGCTTGGAGCCGATAGTTGCGAATACACCATTGCTAGTGATGATGTAAAACAATTATTGGGAGAGGACGCGCTCAAACTAGCAAACTACATATAGAGCTTGTATTCGCGAATACAGCTTACGCCTGTCGGCTACCGGATTAACCTACTATTTTATGACCAACTCATTTAGATATGAATGGCATAGTGGCAAGTACTATTCATATTAAACTAGTTGCCCATGAAATAGCAGGTAAATCCGGTAGCCAACAGGCGTTAGTTGCATTTGCGATTTTCATTCAAAACTCACCGTATACATGCGACTCACAACAACACGTTTCCAAGTTGAAAGTTCCATTCTGGGGGCATTCCTGCGCCCATCTGTCATGGTGGTACTTGTAGAACGTATCATTGATCTTAGTGAAAAGAAGTCCAACACCCTTCTCCACCTCGTCCAATTTTCCAATTTGACAACATTGATCTAAAAGTTAGAGGGGAAATCGAAGTCATTTGGAAGAACATTATTGGGTTCGAATGTCAGACCAATGATATTATAGTTCAGTTCAAATTACACTTTGCTAATTATCCTAAATTCAGGACTTTTTCGAGAAGCTTGCTTTGAAAGTACAAAAATAAACTGAAACTCTCTCATTACGAGTAGTTTTTCTTCCTGACACACTTTGTTACCACAACCGTCCCAATTGTCTATACTCACTTTCAGTCAGGTTAGCTGTACAGTTGGGTGGTGACTGACGTATTTGTTCAGGGGGTGCTGGGGAAAAGAAAAAAGAAAACATATTATCTATAAATAATACAAAACCACAAAATAATTTGAGAGCTTATTAGATGTTTTATAATTTCGTGAATCAGGTGGAAGGACATTTTTCGTAAGATCGTCGTTTAGAATATTATGGCCGCTTTGTTGTCCCTTTACCAGATTCAGTAGTTTTGACTGATTTTTTCTTGTTGAAAATTTCGTAAGTACTTGTCTTTTACCTTTGACACATACCCTTAACTGTTCGACTGCCAAAATGCCAATCATCGGCTCTTCAAAGTTGTAACTAAAGATCGGCTCAAATATTGGCATTTTTGAATTACAAATTACATCGTTTAATATAACCCTGGCCTTAAAAAGAGTTGTTCACTCTTAGTTTCAGCCAAGGATTACATGATTAGAGGCAATTTTTATCAATTTTCCAAAGGGTATTCTAGTTACGCATTTGCCTGACTATATTTAAAGACGTAATTTAGCTCAACCTACCCCAACAACTGTCGTCTTCTACGGGACACCACCAAACTGTGTCCTGCCAATCGCATGTGCTGTCATTCATGTTCCAAACCAATGGAGGTGCACAGAAACGTTGATATGCAAGCGTATAATCGTCATTACATTGGTGGTAGCTGCAACAGTTATCTCCCTGGAGCTCATCCCAATAGTATCCACTTTTACAGATGTCGGGGTTGGCTGGAACAGCTACAAAAACGCACGTATATGTTAGGGACAAAAGACTAGTAGTGTTTAAATACACAGAAGACTTATATATCTCTGACATCAACGTTTTGTTACGACATCCTCAATGACAAAAAAACTGAAAAATGCATGGCCAAAAATGATCATTTCGTACAACACGTGTTTGGAATATATACTATTTACTTACCATCTATCAATGGGTATTCAATTACTTGACTAGATGGTCCTATCAAAATCGCTAACAGACACCAAGATAAGATACTCCGACCCATGTTGGATCAGATTATCTGAAAAGTATTTACGTAGCATATATATCAGGCAAACTCAAGAGTAATTATTTTTTCTAGCACATTTTAGGTTTCTTAAATAAAACATGAACGATTTTGAAACTATTTTTCAAATGTTGTCATTTTTACTCTTTAGCAATTTTTGACCAACGTATCAATTGATCTGATATGTTTTGGAAACAGAAATCCATTCTGGTTTACAACTATTCAGGTTTTCGAATCGTTGAATATTCCTTTTCTTGGTCGTCAAACTCAAGTGAGTTAATGCTCTGCGGAGATTGTTGGAAGCTGTCATCAAACCGTATATATTAATTCACTGAAAATGAGCTCCTTTCAATAAAATAAGGTTATATTGTTTTTTAATGTTTTTTTTAATAATTTCTGCGTTTACATCTTACATTATGCCATTATTTCCGGTCATAGAGAAATTTAGTATAATCCTGAGAGCGGCAGTTTTCTTCTTTACATCGTATATGTACTGTTTTATCAAGATATCAATGGACCATTTACTTTTTTGTTCAAAATTGTTGTTTTGATATAATGAATAACATACTGTACCTTATTATCAATCAATATTCTCTCTTAGTGACGTTATTCCCCAGCCTCTGCTTGAAGTTCAATGAAGACCATCCCCGTGTGTCTCTAAAACATGACTTAAAGGTTTACATATTTTGTAAAATTAAGAGTTATAATTCCATGCGTTTAAGTTTGGTTAATTTAAAATTTAATGACACTGATGCTATATGCATATTTTTTTAATCCGTGTTTTATGGTCCGAAGATCTTTTGATTTTGTAAAAATGTAGGTGTCCATTATTTGAACTGAGCATAGAGATATATACCTTTACAGTAAATCATTTGATAATGGCTATAATATCAATTCTACCATTGCCTTAGGTATCAATTGATCTATCACGACTAGTCGTCCTGTTGCATACAGTAGATATAAAACGGATAGCTGCTTGATTACAGAGACTTCTTGGCTATAAAACAACTGCAAGGAGGTACAATACACAAAGAAGAACAAGTACTCTTAAAAGGAGTCGATACAGTGCGTATCAAAAAAGCGCAACAGATTGTTATCTCAGAAAAGCACAAAACCAGTGATAGCCGTATTGATTTCATTCAATGTACCAAAAAGTCACGTGTCTCCTCTTTACAATGGTATATCATTCGTTGATATTGGGTAACGCTTGGGCGAGTAATCATTCCTTTTGCAAAGTGGGCTAAAATTAACTTGGGACCAAGTTATAAACATCGCGAAAGTCAGTGTACGGGGCCAAATGCAATATTGGAAGGGAACTTAAAACCAATGATGACTGCACCCTTTTCATTCAATGTACCAAAAAGCCAAATTGAATAAAATTACTCCTCTTTTTGCGATGTGATCTCAATTCAATTTTCAACTTGAAAAGGGATAACGACTGACAATTATTTTCATTTGGGGATCCACAATCGATTAAAGATATCAATTTAATTATTCTTAAGCTCACTATAAAAGACAAATCTGTACGAAATACGAACTCTTTTTGCATGCAATGGACATATTGATTTCATAAAGATACAAACAGGCCGGGTCTTAGTATAACCCTAATATTATAGGTTACTTTCCCTGTAATCAACCACCACTTTTCGAATATGTACTAACCTTTATCCTGATGGACCAAGTGGATCGTATCTGAATTGTTCATTTACTATATAGCAGCCATGGCAACAAAAGTTCGAAGTCTGTATATTTATTACCCTCATTTCTTCACTTTTAAGAGTTAAATCACCATATTTTGCATACATATTCCCTGGAGAAATCGGAGATTTTTCATTTTGAAGTGAATATGTTTTGAATCCCACTACTTTACGAACTGTGTACTTACCTATATGACATCATCAAAAAGTGTATAGGAATTCCTCCTGTTTTTCTTTGAGAGGTCAAAGCCTCATTCTGAATATAGATCAAATAACTTCTTCTATATAGCTTTGAGATAGGTTCGTAGAATTATCAACGTATACAATTATAAAATACCATAAATAATGAAAATGGTGAATACACGTATAAAAAAGTGTATGGCGCCAGATGGTGTCACTTGTAAGTCTATATCCAAATATTAAACAAACCATGGCCTGCGTTTTATAATTGGTTTTATTATTTTCATTATTTATATCAGTAGTTCAGATGTAAAGTTATGTTTGCTAAAGCATTTAGATTAAATACGTATTTGTAGAAGGCATGAATGAAAAAACTCGTATCAATGGTGTGTTCGGCAAAATAATGATTAGCAAGGTTAAAGCATTATACTTTTTGTTAAATAATAATAATATAAATATAGTCGACTCGTAATTACCGCAATTAATTGAAGCAATTGTAGGGGCGTGAATCAAAAGATGACAAGGCTTGCCTATGATGCACTTAAGCCTTCTTTTTGTAATCATTGAAAAAGCATTCATGTAGAGAACAAATTGCATTTTGAATCTGAAAAGGGTTTAAGTCCTTTAAGTTCGTAATTTGTCATACTGCTTTGTACATGTAGGTGGGAATATTTTAAGTATTGATATTTCCAGAAATAAAGGTTTATATCAAATTATATTGATTGTGTAAGTAACAGCTATTGTGTCTTATGGTCATAAGCAGTGTTTTCAATAGTAAATATTATCGTCAGTCCAATAGTTCGATTCAATCATAATCCCGGGTCTCATCTCAGGTTCACCCTCGCTTCGTCTTCTTCCATGTTGATTGATCCCCATACGTCCCGGTACACGATTTCCATAGGCCATGTCGTTCATTTGAATTTGCCTTCTATCGTATTCAAATCCACGCATTGGAGGTTGTCGGTGATTTGATTCATCTGGCCATCTGTCGAACTTCAAACCACTTAGAAGTTGTTGCTGGTGTGTCGGTTGAGCCATATTCATTCTATCGGGCCATATTCCAGACATTGCCTGTGTTTGGTTCCTTCTGGTTTGCATGTGTCCAATTTGTGTTCTCAAAGCACCTCCACTGCTTGGCCACATACCGTCATTCTCCCTCATGCTAATATTCTCCCGCGCCCCATATATGTTGGAATCAATGTTGTACGGCGACATCGCTCTCATAGGTATAGCGTCGGGATGGACAGGCATCCCAAAAGCTTTATTAATATTACCTGTGGAGTGTGGATATGGTTGCTGAAATACAAAAACACATTCCAATACAATATGTAAATCTGAAACAATGTTGAATGTTACTTCCCAGATTGCTGAATATACCTTTTCAATTCACCGTTTAGACAATCATTGAAATAGAAAAGGAGTACATTTTAATCATTTTTAAGAGTACATTTTTAATCATTTTAAAATCACAATAGATTTAACAGATATTAAAACATTGATTTTTGGATATGAAATACGAAACATTGACTGCAAACATTTAAAGAATGGCTTAATGAAATGTGGTATATCATATTGTCAAATATTGTAAAGATTCACATGAAATTAAAATGCATCATTTTAACGCAATTATGTAGATTTGTACTGTAAAACATATTTTAAATGGAAATAAAGATAGATTGAATGATAAAAAAGAAAAGGAAAAGTTCAAGACAATCTTTATAAAAGCTGGTATTATGGTTGCATTATTTGAATAACGCAATGATAGATTGGACTTTTATAAGCGTCGAATATTACCGTTTTTTTAGCCTTTGCCTTCTTGCACCTCCAAATGACTACGGCTAATATAACGATCACTATAGTAGAACCGAGACCAACAATCATCCAGGCCCACCACGGGTAGCCAGCACATGGGGAACGAGGGTCACAGTAACACGTGAAAGAATTCACCATATCTACACAGGTGAAGCCAGGTCGGCATGGTGATGAAAGGCACTCATCAATATCTTGTTCACAATAAAAACCTTCATAGCCTAATGAGCAAAAAAATAGAATAATGTTTATATAGCAAATGATATTGACCAAATGGTGAACACTATAGTACCTGAAATTCAAAAAATTGTCACCTTTATATAAACTAGTACAAGACATGCCCAAACATTAATTTTAGACCTTCAAACTGGCAGACTGGAACCGTCCTCGGAAATTTTAAAACAATTTGTCAAGCCGCGTTTTGAGTCGAGACAAGGACAAGAAAAATGGGACACTGCCACCAATAACACGCTAAGCTGCCTACAAAATATTTATAGCACGATAAGACAACAATAGGATTTAAGCCTTTCGTTAGAATTCTTTCTGTCATCAAAACAAAGTAGCACATAATTGTGATAACAGATGCTTATATTTGTGCTCAAATAATATCTTATCAACCCGTTGTATGGTTCTAATTCAACGTGATATTACCTGGTTGACAATCACACTTGTATCCCTCGAATCCCCTACTTCTATTCGTGCTTGAACAATCTGTATCATTCACAGCCTCACCATTGCATACTCCATTGTTCCTGCATTTGTTCTCCAATACATAAATGTTAATGTCCAATGGATCAGATAGAGCTCCTTGCTCATCAATGGCAATGATCCGAATGCCATCTACTCCAAAGAAATCCTTTATAGGAGTGTAGGTTACTAAGTGGAATAGCCATCCAATATAATCAATGGGTAAAGATAGATTCCGAAAGAGGCATGGATACGGTATATTTCCATCGAATTCGTTAAATAATTTTGTCCACTTTCGAATTCTATCCTTGTGATTCTGATCTGTCATACCACAGTTTTGCGCATTAAATGTGAAATTCGTGATTGGACTAGATAACTTTGTTGTTCCATTGGTCGCATTTTCGCCACTGAATCGCAATTTGTCTTGCATGTCATAGTCGTAAGCGACAACGAGCAGTTTTAAAGGTCTATAATTTTCTGAACTAACATACTGCTCTACATTGAAGTCTACAGCATGATGCGGCTTAGGATCCTTGTATACAACTGGAGCCTTATATATTCCTTCATGGATAACACTGGTGAATGGGTAGTCGTTCTCTTGTTTAATATGCACAGTTATTGTTCCCTTTGTATTTAAGGGTACTTGACTATCGGTCCTCACCTCCTGAACAATAAAATGTACAGGATCTGAGCCATAGTAGTGAAGGAACCCCTTGTAAATAAATGTCCCATCTCGCTCTATTTCAGCGGTACCTAATGTAGGACCTGGTCTTGTGTTATCTACGAGAAATACCAACAGATCTCCCTCTCCATCTTTTGCGGTTATCTTAAACTCGTATATCTGACCAACGTGTTCTGTGATGTTCATTTGGCTAGGTGATGTTATTTGAGGAGGTGTATTGACAAATTGCTCGTTAACTTCACTTAATGCGAATTGAGTTTCGCCACCATAATGCGTTGTTTTACGTTTCTGCTTCTTCAATGTTGTGGAAGAATCGGAGCAGATTCGGAATTTGATTATCCCAGGTCCACCCGGTAGAGCTCTAGCTCCATTACAATTCGTGTTCACATTGCTCCACATTTGATTATCTGTTAAATGGATGAAGATATATTATTATATACCTAGAACAGAATACTTTCATTATCACGGTCTGCAAGAAACAAAGCCAAGGTTTCTGATAGCAATCTAGCTACTATGCCGCGTCCAAAACGTATTATTTTATCAGTAATAATAGATGAAATATATAATGCATGAGTTATATCATCAAATAGAAAATAGTCCATAATATATACAATGCCAAAAGGCGAGTTGCGGCATGATTGTGTATTATACCATGAAAAATATATCAATGAAATAAACCTATTGTTTAAAAAAATAAATACATGTATATAGTAAATAATTATATGTTACCCGTGTCCCAGAATATGAGGGATAAACTGTTTTCCGTGAATTCAATGCCAGGTGCAGTTATATCCAACGATAGAAAGCCATCTAAATCACCATTCACTGTATTGACAAAGAAACTTACGCCACTCCATCCTCCCAATCTGAATTAAATCAAAGTAATATGTTATCCAATCAAACAATTTCCATAACCAGGTTCTCTAGTATGGTCATCTAAGTTGATGTTGTCAGTAGACTGTTGTCGGTCTAGATACAACACATAGAATCTACTGCCCTTTACGTATCAAATCAGGCGAGTCACCAAAGGCTTACATGTTACCTATACAGTACCTGTTCCACCTCCACAATGAATAGAATCGTGGCAGTTCATGGTTTCAAAATGCCTGATTATTTTAATGTAACTCCGTGCACCTATTATACTGACTACATTAGCGATTGGTCCCGGCTACTAGGGACTGAGTTCAGAAAACGCAAGTACATGGAAATAAAAAATGCTCATGAGACAAACCTATTTCTCAGATATCTGTTCGTTTTATTCCTTGTGTTAGTTGGGTTCACAACGTATGGTTTAAACTCAACGGAGCCATCAGACATATACTCCTCCTTCACATCATGTTGATTCAATGTTCCACATGCCAAAAGCCTATCATGGTGCGTGCCATATGCGTGAACATGGACGTTTGTATCTGCTAAACCAATAGAGAGCTCACAACCCTCGTCAGAAGGCTTGATCACGTCGGACGATCTCATGATAAACTGTTTCGATGTCGCAACTATTGTACAGAAATCACCCGGTTGGCAAACCTGTATTCTAGCATGAATAGCTCTGAAACAATCATGATCTAGATTTTTAACATCAGACCCCGACCTCTCTTTGGACATGTAGAAAGTGGTCTCAATTTTCAGGAATACTCAGAATTTTTACAGGACTTTAATTGATACATCGCAGGAATATTATATACATCAATACAATCATGATAACTAACGATAGACGGTCTAACGGAACGTTAGAAAAATGTTAGTCTCGATACTTATAAGATATTCATCAGTTCAAATGTGAACTGAATGTCGACTAGGTATTTGGAGATGATAGTGCGGTGAATTAACAATCTGATGTGTAGCTGACCTAATTTCGTGGCAAACACATATTCAATCTGCGATTAAAATTATTCATCGCAGTAAAATATGTACCTTCCTGGCTCCATGTGGAATCTATTCTGAGCAGAAGTGTTTGTATCATACTCTCCATTGACATCCGATATATTCAATTTTCCATATGGCTCAATTATAATTTCACCATCTTGCACCTTAAGTGATCCAAACTCAAACTCCCCTTGCATTTCTTTAGGAGCGATGGCAACTTTGGAAATGATATCATCATAGGCCTTTGAAGACCCCGCAACGAAATCTAAACACAAATGTACGTATTTCACAAATCAGAATGTAACTTATGATCTATTTGTGGTCGGGTTTGCATAAAAAAGCAATAGAGGGGCTTTATTGAGAACGAATGAATAGATGGTACCATACGTCATTCCCAATATCAATCCTGTGTGTGGAACAAACGTATATATTGTTGACGGATAAGAGATTTCACATCTAGAAATAAGATCTAAATTCTAAGAAGTATAATCATTAACTTACAGCTATTTGCATTATCACCAGGCTTAGACATTTCTTGTTTCCACTCAATACCTATACCATTTTGATCTTTACACACAGTAATTCCTGTTCCCGTTAGGTTAATGTTAGGCAAGTCAAAGGCTGATCTACATGTCGTATTCACCTCCACGTATGCAGTTATGTTCTTTGGAAGTGCGATCGTGACACCTTTTAAAATAGGTAGAAGATATACAAGCTGCGTATTGAACAAATCCATGAATGTTAATTAGTCGGTGTGCTATTTAGGTGACTTACCAACTGATGAGTTAACTGTTTGACCACCCGCACGATTCGTGACCCTCACAGACACGTAATAAGTGTGCCCATCCTGGAGGACCGCACTGAGATCATCACTTTTACCAAGTTTCTGATTACCCATCCATCGGTATGACTGTATATCCGTCGCGAATGGTTCGGTCCCTATCGCCCATTCAAACCCGACGACCTGGTTCAAGATATATACGAGGAATGATCAAAATTCAACAAGATGCCTTTATATATATGATCCTACTTTATTTCAAAAACTAATTAACGGCAACAGAAAATACAATATCAGTTCGGCTTGAGACCACTAATATTTTTTATACTTTTTATTTGTTCGCTTACATGATATTGTATTGTGTACAGATTACGAAAGATGCACGTAGATTCTACTAGAATGTCTCTTATTACAATTTTATGCTATTTATACATGCATGATGGTATGGCAAATACCACCACAAATTATGAAAAAGTGTTAACCAATAAAAGTGAATATCAATCATGATTTGTCTTCCTTCATCATACTAATTTGCATATTTCTTGCCTGTATACTTACCTGACTTTCCATATCATATGCATCCCATCTAGCTGCTATTGTGTGATTTTGACCTTGATGAACCACCCTGTTCTTATCAGACACAGATATGTCAACATGGTACAATATATCAACTAATGGGCCACTGGTGTCTATGGTAATACCGTTAGATGTCGCTGATGTGTATAATCCTGAGCCTAAAATGAAGATTTTGTAGTTTCTAGAACGATGCATAAAGTTGAAAAGGCCTACTTAATATCTTTGAATTGTGGTTTAAATTTTTGTGTGGTTAACAGGTTGTTTCTATATAATCCAAACTGCCAAATTATAAATGCTCTTTTGTATGGTTGATTGTGTGCTTAATTGTTTCTTTTTTGCTGTTTTTGTATTGCTCGTTTGTCGCCTCGCTTTTATGTTATATGAGGGTTCATTGGCATATTTTTTTGTTGGTCATTGGTTTACTTTATTTATTTGAAGTGGTAATCAAATGAAATTTTAGAGAACGTTCCTACAAATAAGATTTAAGTACCCGTTAGAGATTTAACATGTACAAAGTAGGTAGCGGCAACAGTTCTATTTTCATAAGTGTTGTTTGTAGATACATATTGTTTATCTTCCAAATCCAGGTCATCCCAAATAATAGTGTACATCTTCATTGGCTCGACACATGATGCATCACAAAACAGAGCATCACAAGCTGAACTACATGGAAGACATGTTTCAACTACCTGAAAAATGATTGTTTTATCAGTGATTTTAGGTGGCTTGTTATTAATAGACTAAAATAAACATGTTATTTTTCGTTATGGATACTTACTTTTTAATATATACCAGTTTGATTTTACAAAATATTGAATCTGTTTTCCAAGATATTTGAAATACATATTATATCGTCAGCATCAATTGGTCAGAGCAGACAGAAACAACTTGCAGTCATACCTCCTGGAATGGTATCACGTCTGTCTCATTTTTATTTGTTCCTAGTCCCATGCTAAAAATTGTTATTCCTGTTCCTGTATTTTGGAAAGGTTTTCCATAATTGCAATGAGTTCCTTTACCTTGTGGCAAACTAAAATAGAAGCAAGTATTGGAAATTATATACTTATCCATAAATGTACCATTGTGTATATTTTTGACGAGGATACCCTCTGCAAAACGCTTTATGAATCTTATAAAGTTAAGAGAACTTAAAATTATTCTTAAAATGACATTTATTTATTCAAATTAATATAGCAATCGTATAAGAACGTAACATTCCATTCAAATATTTATTAGTCAAAGCAAAATCCATTAAATCATTTTTGTTTAGACTTAAGTTCATGCTTGACCTGATTTTATAAAAAGACGCTCGAACATGGGGTCGGTTAAATGGATCATATGTCTCTGGATAGAACAAGTCCTTGTTCCTGACTGCCATACTGAGAAGACATGGAGCATCTAGTTTTGGGATTTGATACATTGTAGTTTTCACTTTTCCATCGACAGCTAGTTGAATCGAGTTTGACTCCTGGATAGGAAGATACATTTACGGTATAGTAGATACTGTACGTCTATCATAATATGCTTGATACGAGTCAACAGTGTATTGCCTTTAATTTATAAACATACCATTTAAATGTACAACAGGGTAGGAGGTCCTATCAAATTATGGTCCTACTTTCCATTGATTTATATGGTGACCTAAATACAACTCTTTCCCTTATAATCGTATCCACAATCAGGGCCAGTAAGGGCCTTTAAGAAAGGGGACCATAATCCCCAGGGGACCATAATTTCTTTCACACCGGTTCTTTAAATTTTGTACACATCGAAAATTAAAATGTAGTCAAAGTATTATATAATACCTACATTTTAGTTTGTAACTCCAAGACCATGGTCTTTCAAGCGAAAGCCCATGCGGAAATTCAGGCGAGTGCTTGATTGTAAATCCCAAACACGTGTAATGTGAGTAAATTACCTTGTTTAATATAATAGTGTATGTATGGAGGGCGGTTGACGGATCAAACTCCAGTGCTATTATTTCAAATTTAGATTGTTTCGGATCAGCAAGCCATGTGCACCACAAGGTTGCATAACTGGTATTATCGCATGGTAGTGCTGTAAAATGTTCAGATATCAACATTACATGAATGGATAGTAACATGGAAAAACTGAGAGCAAATAAATCTCTAGGAAGGCTGGTCTCGGGTGGATCTAGATATAAAACTAATTTGACCACTGGCTCTATGAGGAAAGTATTTTACCTGGATGTAGCTGAAATCCGCACGAGTTTTGTAAAGTTGAAGCATTAAGCGGACCTTTGTAAGAATCATCATCCAACGTATATGGGAATGCATCCACAGGTGTAACGCTTCCATCACTTGACCTCATAGACAGTGAACCGTTACCTGTCGTTTAACGAATAGCATGTTAAGAAACAAAAAACACTACATTTATTTCTGTAGTGTTTCTTGGTGATTTCCCAACCTTCTTTTTAACTGAACATTATTGCTATAAATTTGGGAACAATGAACATGATATATAACGGATTATATACATGTATATATAACAGTATAGAGTCAACCACAGCAAACGTCATCAAGTTACATAAATGCTTTGAAAAAGTGCGCCTTTTCATTAAATATCGAGTTTGTAGACTGCATTATTACACAAACCTGACACTATATGTTCTGTTATATTGATATCGTAATCAACAAACACTCCAGGGGGGCCCTCCCTCAACACAACACTTGTTACGCCGTACAATTCCGAACTGGCAGCTTTTACTTCAAACTGAAAATAGAAAAGCAATTCAGATGCGGGTACGATTTAGATTTTAATATATGAGGTTTGCTGATTGAAGTCACCTCTTTCAAGTTTCAAAATCCCATTGGAAATGTTCAAAAGCACTAAGTTTAATATTTCGTTGTCAAAGATACTCTCAAGAGAAGATCATGTTTTTTCAAGAACAAACTACAGTCTGGAACATGACACATTGGAATTACTGGGACATATGAGATCCATCTACCTTATATTTCCCAGACGTCCCATCTATTTCCCTGTCCAATGCTCCAGCCAACATACGTGTTGTCTTTACGTCAGGCATCATGATTAACTCGAGAACTCCATTCTTACTTCTGGACTGCATTTAATAAACATCCATGTTTTTGAAACACAATTTTATGATATTTATTGAATTTTATGACTTTATGATTTCATGATTAACTCAGAACTCCATTCTTACTTATAGACTGCATTTAATAAACATCAATGTTTTTTAAACAACATTTTATGACATTTATTCAAAATAAGCTAAAAACTACTATAACAAATGGAAATGGGAATCACAATTTACGAGATTTGGAATGAGTTTTACTGAAATACCTGATGTTTATCGTGTATTACATTACCATCCACTCCCCATATACCGACATGATTGATCTTGTTCCAATTTGCTAATGTTAGATCAATGATGTTCTCAGGACATATATCTGCACCTCCTGATGGTTTCAATTGATGTAAAAATGAGGCTACAATAAGAGTCATATAATAAATACGGCATCGCATAATAAACACGATCACATAATATCAATTATATCACAAATAACAGTGTTGATTTCAGTATTATTTACATGTATATCGGTAGAAATTGTGTCTTGGTGATATTTTGGTTGTTTTGTACTTTCTTTTAGTAGTAAAATACAAGAAAAAAAACAGTTAAATCTAAAAACATATGGAAACTCACCATTTATAAATGTTGTAGAATTCTGAAACTCAATATCTGTGCTAAAGTCAGTGCCATCTTTAACGTCACCTGGAATAGGAGGTTGTTGGTCCAACAAGATTGGCACCGTATAGTTACTGACGATGAGGCCGGCGCAGTTACTTGCCTCCAAATGCACAAAATATGGTCTGTCGTTCTGGAAGGCAAAATTGGATTTCCAAACGTAGCTTCTTTACTTAAATAGTACATTACATACAAACAATGGAGTACAAGATAATTTGTTGTTGATATGCATACCTTCAGATATAACTGGTAGAACGTATACTCTGAGGCATCAGGTTCTAAAATAATAGCATCGGTTATGGCAATTGAAGGGGTCCTCATATCTCCGCCTGTACAAAGACCCCCTTCAAACAGCGTCAGTCTGTAGTTCTCCATACTTGAATCAGGATCATTGTAATTTTGCCATGACACGGTCATTCTGTCCGATTGATCAGCAAACATCACGCCCTAAAGTCAAGACGAAAACATCAGTGTTTTGTGATAGTCCCTACATACAATTGTATCTCGACAACTGTGCAAATAACATAACCACGGGCTTTCAATTCTTAACATACCAGGTTATTTTCAGGACCGACTTTGATGACTCCAGAGATTGGTGGTGTTGTATCTACTAATATCTCCTTTGTAACCATTGAACATATTGCCGATTCATCAGTTGCTATAACAACAACCAGATACGCCTTCCCATGCTGCATCTTTAGGCCATTTTGTTCCACGAAGGTGGTTTTCAGAACGTTTATCATTGGCTGTATGTCGAACGCGTTAAGGAATACTGAATTTTCGGTTTCCTTATGCTCAAACAATTGCTGAAAATAAATTCACGCATATATACAATTAAGTTCCGTATAGTTGTGTATTTCATATGTATGATTGAATGTGACTATTGCGGAAGTAGGCCACTTACTAATTGTTGACAAGTTAGGTTGTTCACTGCAGACAGATTAGAGGAGATTCCCCATTGATAGAACATAACTGGTAAACCAAACTCAAAGCCTTCCCAAGAGAAAGATATATCTCTTGTTGACGGTATGCAACTGAAACACAGCGCAAGTATTGTATAGTTAAGTAGATTATACAGATATGTAAAATAAATAGTCAATTTTCATTGATTAGACTCAATAAAAAAGTACAATAATTATTTAGTTGTGTTATGAATAGTGTGCCTAAAATCATTTCAAGAATGACGAGACGTAAGTTGAAATCGAATTACGTGAACAACATGCTTTCCCCCTTTGATCATTAAAACCCAAGATTTTCAATTCAAAATAATTAAAATTGTTACGTATAATTGATTGATGTCACCTATCAAGAAAACAACATGTTTTTAAACAAAAATAATATTAATGAGAACAATAACAATGACACAATTTGCAATTGTAAATGATTCTATGATATTCCAAGGACTCAGAGTCAGCCGTCTCTCAGAAAGTGCTGATATCCTGATTTTGTGTATTAACAACTTTGCAAGTTGCAATTTGCCTTGCTTCAGCTTGCTTCACATGATTGTGCGTAAACATATCCTTTGCAGGTTGCAATTTGCCTTGTTTCACATGATTGTGCGCAAACACATACCTTGCGAGTTGTAATTTTCCTTGTTTCACGACTGTTCCTCCAACACCAACTCGTATGCCATTTGATGTTTGTGTACGCGAAGCACTAGAACTACCAATGCCCCTCACAGTAATATAATAGTGGCCTATTTCTGGCAACAATTCTAGGTCAGTGAAGTGCCAGGTCTGATTCAAATCCACTCGAACATATGGATGGATGTTAGTTCTTGTGTTGGGATATCGACGGTCATTTCCAACTGCAACCTCGTAGTAAATTATTTCTTGATGACCTCCGATCCTTGGATCAATATCCGGATTACCTACAACAAAGTCAAGTTGGACAGGAGATGTACAGATGAAGTACAAACGACATTTAAAATCAGCATACTTTATATTTTACATTGTACACCTACCACCATCAATCAGATCTGGATTTTCCTCTTTTGTTTTTCCAAAGGCATCCCAATTTCCCCATAGCTCAGTAATGGAAGGCTGCACATTGAAATCAACTCCAAACACAGGTCCATCCCGTACTATACCTGGCATCAGTGGCTCTTGCCTTATAGTTATACCATCTGATCGTTCAGTGTGCACATATCCAAGGGAGTTCACTCCCTGTACGATAACAAAAAATTCGTCCCCATCTTGCAAGTTCAAACCATCGTGTACACCAAAGAGTTGACCTTAAAATTAACAAACTTCATTACTGTATATACACTTGCAATACTCGGGTCATTGTTAAAAACTACATGTAATGTAGTATATTTAATGTTTTATACTTGATTTCCTTTTGTGTTAAGAGTCTTTAAACTTGAATAATTGCATTTGGCGTTGTGCTATATATCGGTCTATTCGTCAGATGTATATGCTGATGCTTCTCAATGCAATGAATATACCTTTTGGAAGTTGTAGTGGTTTCATGAAAACGGTACTATCCAGCCTTTGTATGCTCCAAGTGTAACTCTCCATAGGACATGGGTCACCACTGAAGTCCCAACTCGCGGTTAACTGCTCACGATCCTTTTGGAAGTTCCTTTAAAATGGATCACATTTGCTCGTGTTTGTATTATGTTTATTCATACTTGGTTAGTAAACAATATATACACATATTCTTAAATTAATCGACATGTTTAAAAGTACAGACAAAATGACTGCATTACATATCTTTCCCAGGTGTATGGCCATCATATACAGTAAATGATCCTAGTGGTGAAAGTCCTGCTGAAATACGGCTGATGAAGACACCATTCGATATTGAAATGGTTGTAAGGCCTGCTGCATTTGTTCCTCGTACCGTAACAAACACCTGACAAAGTAATGGAAATGTTCTATAATAATTACAGACAAAGTCAGTCCAGTATTACAAATAATGATTGTTTAATGTTGATGTTCCCGATTGATATAATCAGATCTGATTATACATTACCGTTTGTGCAAATATGTACCTGTTCTTGTCGGGCCAAATCAAGGTGATCAATTTTAACGACATTGGTGTCTGACGGAACTTCAAAGAAAGGTTTTATTTGAGCACCACCAGATATGCTACCAACAGCAACTTCATACCTAAAAAGTTAAGTTGAAGAATTTGATACTTACTGTCTATGATTATACATAATGCTCTTTAATATAATCGATAGTGTAATTTGCCATTGTATTAATGCAGATACTAACTTTACAACGGGTGATTCACCATCCAAGAAGGGCATCCAACTGGCGTGTATATTTGTCATCGATGTTTGGCATTTTGAATCAGCAGCTTTACAATCTGAAACGTTCATAGTGTGACTATTCATATGATGATGTAACATATTACTTTATCATATAACTAATTTATAATGTATGTTCCCTCCAGGCGTTCATTGAGATGTAACTATTCAACTCGTGATGTTATTATTGAACGTATGTTTCTTCAGGTATGACCACAAACTCTATCCATAATGAGATCATGAAGGTGATGATGTATCTGCTATCTACCATATTCAGTTTTGTTGAACGTCACAATGATACTGTTTTTATAGTTACTACTTCTATTTTCACAAACATGACACTGTGTTCTGATGTAAGAATTTTACCTTCTTTTGGTGAACATCCTGCAAATGACTGTCTAGAAGATACGGACGTATTCAGTTCAATTATGTCATTTAATTCAACGACCATTCCAGCTACAGGGGGTGTACGGTCAACAATAATTGGTAGGGAATATGACTCTAACGTCACGCCAGCAGCATTTGTTGTTTTCAATGTCATAAAGTATTGACCCATGGGTAGATTTGAATCTCTGTATTCTAGAATGAAATATAAATGAATCTTGACAGGTGGCACATTATGGGAAACATGGCAAAACACTACCCCTGGAAATAAACTATATCAAACAAATTGGAAACGATTAGTGGGCGAAAAGGTTATAACAAAAATATCGTATGCACCTTTGAAAACAATGGTTTGGGTATAAACTGGAAGAACTACAAATGCGTGTATGTTGTCTTCGCCTTCCCGATTACCCAATCCAGGTGAATAGTGTTCAACACCACTTTCTGCATCTATGAACCCTGTCCAACTACAAGTAATATCTTCGTTCTCCTTTAGAAACTGTGTACACTGGATCCGTCCTTCTGTCGGAGGACTATTGTCGGCTATCAAAGGAGGACTGTGAAGTCGTTTGTCAAGTCCAACCTGTTAGAAAGAGGAATGAAAGTACGTGATGCAGCCTAAATATCAAAGCTGCTAATTGGAATATATCTAATCGAATTCGAAACTCGATGATCAGTGTTTATCACTATACCAGGTTCTCTGAATGAAGCATCAGGAAATTTGGCTTTCCATTTGTGAATGGCTGCACTTGTCCTGCCTGTATCCCAGATGAATCGCCGGCCAACGTCATATTGTATACATCACATCGTCCTGGTATTGTACCATAGCAATAACTGGACCATGCAATATTGCTTTCAGGGTCGGAAATATTCCAATCAGCAGTGATGGAATCTATGGACGACTGATACAGCGATGTAGGATTTGTTATAAGTGTGTCATTTATATTAAGATCAACGCCTATGTCGGTCAATAACACCTGCAAACAAAGGAACATCAGTACTCTCAGTATCATTGTAATGAATAAAATATTTGACTACACACAAAGCAATACGTGCGTTATTTGCTGTATAATGTAATGTATCTTGTTGCGCTTATTTCATTCAATGCTTAATATATTGCCAATGAAGCAAACCTCAGGTGGAGTAATGTCAACAATGAATCCATTGGATACGCTTTCAAGAGTGTTACTCTTGCCCGTTCTTCCTCGAACTGTCACGTGGTAAGAACGAGCATGCGTAAGGTGCACGGGGGCATGCACTGTTCCAGAGTAGTTTGTTTTAATGCTGGCCACAGTTTCATTATCACCATCTACTATAATTCCTTTTGTTGAAAATGGGCGAATGTCATCTAGTCCATGTCCTGTGCCGACTGCCCATTCGAATCTGGTGTAGCCTTACAAAATTAAAGTATTTCTATATCAAATATACATGTCTCTTTCTAGAGTGATTACACATCTAACGACATATGACTGAACTTTGAGTTTTAACATACAACTTACCAAATCCACTCCTAAATCCTTCAAAATGAGCTGTTACTGTTGTTTTGTCTTGCTGTTCGTTAACATCAGGATTCCCTCTAACGCCATCTGTGATAATTCCAGGGGCATCTGCCTCGATAATCTTAAGCGGCCTGACCATAAATGAGGTTATCATTTGTGAACGTTGTGTTAATTTTTATAAATTAATCAAGGAATGCATGTAGAACTACATATGAAAAATGGATTATATTTAAAAAAATTGATTATAATTAAGTCGTGAGCGTTCCAATGCCATGTTAGTAGTAAAATGTACAATTCCTGACTCACTTCGAAGTTATATTTTTGGAAAACTGTCCAGCTCCATTCTTTGCCTTTACGTTGATATAATAGAGAGGACCTTGTATATTAGGGTCAAACAGCCCCAAAGTCAAATTTTTCAAGTATCCATCTGTCTTAGGCCCCATGTTATGATAATCAAGAACATCAGTAGTACCTTTAATGAATCATGATTAATTTTGATTGAATCCTTACAAACGAGCAGGATTGAGTTATAGCAAAAAATGAAAGTAAGTCAGAGATAAAATAACAAAGGTTACTTGAAGATGTCCCAACTGCAACATGATAGTATTGGATACCACTCTCGGGATCAATTGCATTCCACGTTGCTTGGATACCAGTGTTGTCAGCAGATACAACCATGCCATCTATAATATCTTCCATCTCCCCTGCGGAAACACCAATGCGTACGTACTGCATCTGAAATCATGAACAAAGACGTTAACACAGAAGTATACGGTGAATAATGATCAAATCTATCGATGGAAAGACACTATGAAAAGTATATACATTGGATGCAAAAATTATGAACATATATAATATCAATATTGTATAGGCATATAGTGGAAATCAAGGGTGTAGTACTTACTCTTGGTGGTGTAGGATCCACCTTAACGCCATCGGTATTATGTACTGTTGTCAGCCCAGCATTGTTGACAGCAGATACTCGTATATTGTAGAGTGCTCCTGCCTTAAGGTTAAGACGTTTTGCAGTATATACGGTCACGTCTGAAGCTAATTCTAACGGTTCATCGCTGGAAATGGGATTATAACACTAACTTCCAATTTGCACTATAGAGTGTAATAGAAAATAGCTAACCCTACTCCCAAGTTGTGAATATACCATAAATGGTATAATGTCTGATGGAAAATGCAGTTTGGTAACGTAATGCTTCAATTAATGGTTCTATACTTACCTGGTAGGAAAGATCTGCCGTTTGGTGCCACCATGCTGTTCATACACCGTGAACTGGTGGTGATTTATCCCAGATTCGGGATCAATGAAGAGCCAGTTAGCTGCAAGTTCACTCAGGCTACTCTATAAATAATCATGTACAGTAATTATTTTCAACAATAACTAAAAACTATGAAAAGCAATCCTGAAATAATTAAACATTTGAATATATGCAAACTGTGCATCAAATGACTTACAGAGAACTGTGCATTGATACCGGGAACATCACCGTCGCCCAGGTATTGCACATCTGGGGCTGTCAAGTCCACTGTTACTCCCGTTGAAACTGTTGTAATTGTAGAATTAGCGCCGTTGGTAGTGTTCATTTCCACATATATATGATCACCGTGGTGATGGTGGAAATGGTGCCAATTGATAAAACTAGTATTGCCTCCGACTGACTCTGGTTGATGTATTAAGCTCACAGTTGTTTCCTCGTTTGCTTTACTGGAAGGTCTTCTTCTATATACGGCTAATGAGTAGTCATCTATACCCGATTCTTGGTCCTCAAAACCACCCCAATTTACGAGTACACTGGCTGTTTTTGAAGTATAGTTCCTATCAATGTCTTTGTCTAAGCCATCCTTTATCCAACCACAGGAAGGATTTGTCATATCAACCAAAACTATAACATTTGTACATAAAGTCTTATCACAGTATACATCAATCATAATTGGACTCAACTAATGACTTCTAAATTATAATATACTCTGGTTTAAACTAAATAATCAAAGATGAGTAAGAAGTAAAAAACCTCCATCAGAAATCACAGAAACGTTGAGTAATCGATGTCCTCCATTGAAAGCGTAGAGAATAGTGTAATAGGTAGAGTTGTGCACCAGGCTAGTGATGTTGGTGAAAGAGGTCATACAAGCATCATATTCATAATGACCGAGATCAGTTAGTTGAACAACATCCACGAGACCTCGCCTTGTTCCGAATCCTATCTTGTAACCAACTAAATTGTAAATGTTGAAAGTTTTTCATGGTTACAATTTAATAATGTATCATTTGAATACTAAATGTTGAGGAATATTGAGCATACACTTTAGTTTTGTACCTACCTAGTCCACTATCTGGATCATGGAAATTCCTCCAATTAGCACACAGTATATTGTCCCTGTTCTGGTATTTAAAATCTATATTATGAACCCATCCGTCAAATAGATCTCCAGCTATAGGTGGCGTTGTGTCAATGACTATTGGGACATTTGTGGGTCCAACCTCCCTAAGATCCACTGCAAAGATGAAGTTAGCATGATTATAATATATCATTTGAATACTTTGCATGCCACACACGACATACTTTAATTAAAAAATATCTTACCATTGTTAATTGCTCTTATTTTTGGCCATGCTGGTATTCCATCAGGAACATGCTGTATTTTCTCAAGATGAGTTTTATTTGGATATCTGTCCCAGTCAGATATGTAGCAGTCACGTCTACTTCTCCCCAGACAAAAGTCAACCTCTCTTATATCAGACAAAGGATCACTGCATGGTAAATTCACTAATCATAATACTAGTGACAGAGAATATTACATCATACGAGGAAAATTGAGCGATATATGTACAAGCCACTCTTTGATCATTTAACGTGGAATGCGATTTTACCATTTTTAGTTTTTAGTTTTGAGCGTACTTTGGACACTTTTTTTTATCAAATACCTTTCCAAACGAATGTGAATTACTTGTATTATTTCTCTTATTTAAATATTGTAATTGTGTTATTTTTAAATATACATGTGCTGGCTATATGACAGTGTGAATATACCTAATCTACGTACCTAACATTATACGTCATCTTAATTACATATGTATGTTCATTATATGACAATGTTAACACATGGTGAACAAACGGGGGCGTTGTATCAACTATGTAAGGTAAACTATGACACACAGTCACTGCCATCGGACCTCCAAATGCTATTTTGTTCAATGCTCTCACGTTGATGTGATAGTACCCATCTAAAACCATATTGGAAATGAGTTTAAAACAAAAATGTTTGTGAGTCAATTGTGTCAAAAGCGAAACAAACAATACATACAATCTTTGTGTCAATAGTGTGTCAACAATTGATAAATAAGGCATCCAACTAAATCATCTTTATATAAGAAAAGATACCTGGCATGTGAAGGGGATATAGCATCGCTTCATGTGTCCATTCGGACTCGTATATAATGTGAGAATGTGGATCCTTGTGCGTGTGGTGGTTGTCCAAGCACAAATCAGTTCCAACAGAAACTAAGTAGTTAAATATACCTGTCTCATTGTCATGAAATCCATCCCAATTTGCTGCAAATTAATTATATTATGTTAAAATTTATACAAGCCTGTGTATTTACCATTCCTTAGCTTGAAACTGGATAAAAATGGTCTCGATTACAAAAGAGGTTAACTCACCTGAGCAATATTTATTGTCCCTTGTCCATCTCAAATCAAACATAGCACGATCACCATTGAATACACATAGAGAATGCGGACCATCAGGCTCCGAGACACCATCTACAACCACCCTATAAAATACATTTAAGGTAACGCTTAAGTTAATCAAAAGTACAAAAAATGACTAAGTCACAAGATTTTGTTTTCTGTTTTCCTTATATGTGAATGCATTTCCTGACTAAAGAGACATGTCAAAGAAAGCTTCACATTTAAACGCATGGGTCCCTAAAGCTAGCATGGAGACAGTGAAGTGAGGATAACTTTTTAAAATTTCAAGGAGTAGGATTGCAATGGAGACACATTTGTAAGACTCCAAAATTTCCACAAATCATCTTACCTTACCAAGGAACACTGAAAGAGCATTAAAATGTGTACTTCATGCATTGTTAGAGTATAATAAAGCTCAAACCAAAGTAAATTCTAAATATTTCATGCCCACCATTTTGTTTGCAGGGACTATTTTCTAGTCCAAAATAATCCTCACTCATGCATCCATTGTTTACATTTAAAAAACATCAATTATGTATCTATCATGATTATTATACTGTTATATATAAAGTATACTAGTGATAATCCATGCCACTTGGTGAAGTCACAAAAACTTATATGAGGATTACAGGAAGTCTAGAAGTAGTTCCGGCAAGAAAAATGGTGGACATGAAATATTGGATTCTTGCACATGTTTGACTGTTGCAACTACATTTAATAGTTTTAGTCAATGCTACGATAGTAACACAATATTTCTTCGAATATAGGTTAAGTATATGTTTCATACAAATAATAATATCAAGTCACCTGTAATTCTTGAGTGGTGTTGGCTCAATACATCTCTCGGAAAATACATCAGTTGTAATATCCACGCACGGTTCACGGGTAAAATGACTTGAAATCGGTTGAACTATAGGTCCGGTAGACGGTGGTGTGAAATCAGCCAGTATAGCCTTGGATGTAAGAATGCTTTCATACCCTGACAAATGTTAACAACTCATTATTTTGAAGTATTCGTATCCACATCATTTCGAACCACATAGTGACTTTTGGAATTATCAGCCTCAAAATCAACACTGGCAGCATTTAACTATTTTGCGCTACGTCAGTTTTCTCACAAATTCAATAATGTTACCACCTTTACATTTCGGTCAGAATCTAATGGTTGATATAGAGATAAATCAAGTGGAATTACACCTCCAAATGTAAAGAATATCAAGAAGTACCAAAAGTGCTCTCCCTTTCCACAATTACTTATTAATATGATGGTTTGTACAAAAGAACTCTGCTCGAGGCATTGTTCATTGAATCTGACGGACCCATAGGGAGTGAACACTTATATCACTAAAACTCACTAAAACATGAATTAAGATTTGCAAATAGTCCGTTCAAGCATTTTCATGAGTAATATTAAGGGCTAACGCACCTAGTGTGTTAACAACTTGGTAGTTGAAATAATAGACTGTGTTGTGAGATAGACTGAGCTCATCATAGCTGTATTTCCCAGAGTGCCCCGCACCAAGACGTTCAAAGTGATGAAAATGTCCAGACTAGAAACAGACACATATTACAGTTCATACTTTACAATAAAAGACACGAATAAAAAATAAAATAGCTTTGTGATACACATCAATAATAAATGTACTTACTTCATGAAGTTCTGCTTGGTTGCCTTCCACAAATTCAAGCAGTTCACACGTCCCAGCCTTTCCATAATCATAGTTAAAGCTTGTACATTTTGCTGGAGGATATTCCAAACATTCTTTGGCGCAACCACGTGGCGTAGCCCATGATGACACAACATGGGGTTTAATCGGGTGTTTGGCCTTTGCTATGAGCTTACCAAGTCGTACAGCTAAAAATATAAATGCTAAATAAAAGTCGCAATCAATAAATCTTCGTTTACGATATATGTGTACATCAGTCGGAAATAATATTCTTAAAATAATTTTAAAAGGATATTACTTTATATTTTCTCCTTTTATGCAAAATGTTACCTGTAAAATGATTAAGTATGCCACTGTTGAATTCATCGTCAATCACATCTACCACAGATGATTTGTTTGGTGCGATGTAATGCCAGGCAACCTCTTGATCGCCATATATACCATGGCCATAGCCGACTGCCAACTGAATTTTACAGGCATAAACCGTACTGTATTATTAAATAGTTCTCAAAGACCGAAGGAGAAATGTATAAACTTATCAACAGAATATGAAAGAATCAGGCCCGTAGCCAGGGGGGGTTCGCAGGGTTCGGGCGACCCCCCCCCCACTGGCCAAAAATTCTTTCAAAATCATGCAGTTTTCTATTTTGAGCACTTCTCAAGTGATTTTAGCCATATTTGAGCCAAAATTGTCAAATGTGAACCCCCCATGGCAAATCCTGGCTATGGGCCTGAGAATACTATCAAAATTGTTTAAATCAACCAAATAATGTATGTTTTTACCAGTTATACACATTGTCATACAAGAATTTTGTCATGTCCGATACCACACATGCACTGAAGCTTGGATGAGATGTAAAAACCTAAACCAGCTTTCTGGTATTTTATAATATGACACAAATAAGTAATATTACAAGTACTATCACAAATGCATCACAAAAAGCAGCATTGTAGATATACATACAGCATGTTGCTTGAGAGGGGAGTCGTCAACGGCCATCCCAGATGCTCTTAATACATGTGGATGACTAGTAGAATGGAAATCAGGAATCATCCTTCCTCTGGGTAGAGTCATATCGTATGTCGGTATGTCACACTCTAAACTTACACTAAGCCCCTGATTGTTCGAAGCAATGACCAAAAAATACAATGGTATACCAGACGTCATCGGCTAAAATGAGAGATGAAATTAGATTTACA